GGATTAGGGGGGGGGGTGCGGAGTGGGTGCTTGCGGATTTGGGCTGAAAGAGGAGGTGCAGCGCAGCACGGCGGCGGCGTGGGTGATGCGCGTCCAGCGGCGGTGGCAGCGCGCGATGCAACGGCGGCGCGGCGCGGGCGGAGCAGCAACGGCGGCGCGGCAAGAGCGGCGCAGCGACAGCGGCACACCAACAGCGGCGCGGCAACAGCAGCAGCGGCAGTGCGTGCGGCCTCACGTCGAGCTCCTTGCCCCAGATCGACTTGGCGAGCGCGGCCTTGTCCATGGGCTGGCCCTTGGGCAGCTCGCAGTCCAGGGCGGCGGGGACGACGGCGGCGTCAAACTCGGGCACGCGCTGCGCGCTGTCCTCAGACACGCGGCGCACCGCCTTGGGGGCGGGCGCCGCCGCGGGCGCGGCCGACGCGTCGGCGGCGCCGGAGCAGTCGCCTGGCAGGGTGGGCGAGCTCTCGCCGCACGCCGAGTGCTCAACGCAGGGCGCGACGGGCGCGGCTGCGGCAGACGAGGGGGCGATGCCCTGCACACAGGGGGGAGGGTATGGGAGTGTGGTCTCAGAGTGAGGTCGCGGATCGCATGAATGGGGGCGAAAGAGGGACGCTGCGCATGCGGTGACGTGGCGGGGCCGCAGGGACACGCGTTGCAGCTGCGCAGGGGGTGCGAGACACCCGGCCCCCATGCTGAGCGGACGGCGCCCCCCGCAGAGTGGCCGGCACCTGGCAGCACATATGTCCAAGGGCTCACCTCCTTGACAGCCTGGGCCGCGGAGACTATGTTGTGCCTCAGGGGCAGGCCCGCGTGGCACTCGTCATTGCAACCGCTGCACAAGTAAGCCATGTCGTTGCGGCAGTAAACCGCAGCGGGGCGGTCGGCGCAAACAGCGCAGGCGGGCACCCTGCGGAGAAAAAATATAGCAGCAGTGACGAGCGACGTTGGGCAGTTTGCACGGCGCCGATGTTGCAAAACGTCGAGGTGACGAGCCGCTTATGTGGCGCGTGCCCTGGGGGAGCGCCTAAGCGCGCGCCCCACCTCGAGTGCGACGACGTCAGCGGGCCACAGTGGGCCTTGTGGTCGCAATTCTGGCACAACCAGCACGCGTCCTGTGCGCAGTAGACTCTTGCTGCGGCCGGGCAGGCCTGGCAGGTGGCGGGCATGGCTCCCTTGCGGGTCGCAGGGAAGGGCGCTGCTCGACTGGCAGCTCTCTACGGGGCACGCGCAGCTGTCGCCGGTGCGCGAGAGACGCCTGAAAGATTAATCTAGTCTTTCGTACAGGCGGGGCTGAAGGGGGAACGCTGCGTTTGGCAAGCGGGGCTGGATGAGCGCGCGGCTGAGGCGCGATGGAAGCCCCTAGGTGTGATCGTCTTACAATAAATGTAAAGGTGAGTGGGAACGCACGGCGCGCGCAATGAGGGCGCGTCCGAAGCAAATCGAAGCAACACACTACGGCAGCCAAATCGCCTCGGGGCTGGGTTGGTATCAAATGAAGTCTTGTCAAAGCATGCACATTTTCATTGTAAAGCGATGGGCCCTGGACGACCGGCAAGCAGCTCTCGATGCGATCCGGTGCGAGAAAAAATCTATGCTTGCCGCGCTGCTGCGGTGCCACGACAGTGTTGGCCGTAACAAATTGATAGACCTCATGCTGAGCGCGGCCAGGGTCGACCACCAGCCAACGACAGCGCCTTGCTGTCGTTGGCTGCAACCATCAAACCAGCCAACATTGTCAACCGGGGACGCACGAATCTGGGGTCAATCCCTTGCCCGCAACACAGCCTCAACCATCAATACACATGCAGCCCTATTGAGCAACGCGCATGCCGCAGGCAGGCGCAAGACCAAGGGCCGCATCCGTACCCAGGCTGATGGGTCGATGGGCGGGTGCGCGCGCAGAATCAATCGTGCATCTTGCATCATCAAATGTCAATGATGACGAAGACCTCGCAATCCCCTGGCGTCTCCCGGATTTGCATGTTGCTGTACGTGATTGCCTTCACCTCCGTGCCAGCCTCGTGCCGCCCCCGCTCAAACCGCTCGCCATGCCTGAGGGGTTGGTTGATAAGAGGCGGGGATGAGCCAGCCGCGCAAGGAGCGCCTTGCAAGATGCTGGGAACTGATACGAAGCCCAACTTGCTGTTAGTTGAAAATCCCTTGGCCTTGCATTCGCTGCTCAAACTGCAGCCGCACTCCGCTCCGGCCCCCAAGCCCAGCTCACCCCACGGCGCAAATCCTGTGGGCACCTCTGTCCAGCTCGAGAACCTCCACCTCGCGGCACACCACCATGTCCGTTGCAAACACAAACAGCAGCTCGTCCAAAAACGCGAAAAGGAGCGAATGCATGTCGTGGCCCTCGGCGAAGTACGTCCTGAGCAGACAGGCGGCAGCATGGGATGGGCGTGTGAAGGCAGGGTGCGAGCTTGAGAATGCCTTGTGGGGGGGCCTCCATAAAAGCGCAGCGAGGCAACACCCGAAAGAGTTCCCGCCTGGGGGCACGGCCTGCGGCGACTAGTGCGGTGAGCTCAGCAGCCCTGCTGAGCGCCTCGCTAGGCCCATGTTTCCGCCGCTCTCTTCTGTCTCGTGTGCCTCACCTTGTAGCTGCGGGGTCCAGGCCCACCCCCTCGAGCGGCGTCATGTAATTGAACATGGCCAGAGCCACGTTGGCAAAGGTCTCCTCCAGAGTGGCACCCCCTTGACAACAAAGGGGACGGCAAGTGTGCGAGGAAGGTTTGATGGAGGACGCTGGCGGAGGGAGGGGTTGCCGCTGGGCTGGGCCCTTGCGCCTGCGAAACGCTGCCTTCACAAGCGGACATCCACAGTCGCTGCAACTTTTACGCCACTGCAGGCCACCCGCGCAAGCAACGCGGCCGCTCACATGCGTGCAGCTGCACGTCTGCTGTGTGGTCGAGGTCTGGGAATGCCCCCGAGGCCAGAAAGGAGAGGGGCGTCGCAGGGAGTGGTCTCGCCCTGGGGCCAATACTGCGCGGGGGCCAATACTGCGCGGGGCTAGCTGATGCTGCTGAAAGGTGGAGGTCGCCGCATGCCTGCCAAGCTGTTCCAGAAGCCAGGCATACAGCAGGATGGCTGTTGGGGCCCGCAGAGCTCGAGTGCTGGCCGCAACGTTTGGCCTCAGGTTGCGCGGGCCTCACATTCAAACTTGTTGCTGCCAACCGCTGCGGTCCTGTACTCCGGCAAAACCGGCAGCGCTCCCTCAGCGCCTGACTGTGATGCCCACATGCTGGGCTGCGAGTGGTCTGGCAGCGGTGACAGACCGATTGCTGCATCGAGTACTGGCGAAGACCGCGGCGATGCCACATGTGCGTGTGCTCGCCCACGTACGCTGCCTCTGCCGCTGTCGGGATCGCCACTTTGCGAGGCCATCGTGTGTGCTGATTCACCCCTATCTATGCCCTTTCTTCTCCGCGTATGGCGGGCCTCCCTCTGAGCTAGGCATGCATAGCCCGGAACTCCAGGCTCCATGCTGGGAAGCCGAGCTGAATCGGAGGTCATGCAAGAGCCGTGGCTGGTACCACCTATACTGTTGCCTCCAGCATGCACGCGACTTCCGATAGCTGGCATATGGTGCTGCAAATGATGGTCACCGCGCCACCAGTTTCGCGGTGAGGTCCAGGCTGACTTTTAGACGCGGATAAAGGTTCACATCTATACATAAACCAAGCTGTCGAAGCACGCCGGTCACCCGTGCCGACATGATGGCTCCATCGAGATTGCCAGCAAGACAGCGGGATCTGGCGAGAAGGCCCCGCACGTTTGCAAATGGCCGCTACGTGTTGTGCCATGCCACCCTGACGCGGTCAGTGGGAGGTACCAGCGGCTTCAACCCATCAGCAAATGCACCAGGCGTGGGGGCGCCGCGGCAAGACGCCCCTCTGATATCAGAGTTTGGGTGCGCATCTGTTCAACAGCAGCATCACTGGGCGATGCCCTGCTGAAGGGGGGCCAAGGGGCTACAGCAATGTTATTTAGTTGGGCTCTTGCCTTGCTGGTGACGGTGTGCTGGGTGGAGGCTGCAGGCGATTCTCTGCTGGCGCAGCCCAGTGTGAACCCCACCCGTGTCCAGATTGCACTTGCCCCGCATCCCACCTAACCCACATCTCCGACCTCGCTCCAAACAAACCCTGCGCATTTGCAGCTTCCGCACGAACTTTTCGGAGCAGTACGAGCTAGGGCCCATGCTCGGCGCGGGGTCCTTTGCAACCGTGCACGTCGCCACCCACAAGGCCACCGGCGAGCGCTTTGCGGGTGCGGCATCGACATCGGCAAGACAGGCGGTGGAGTGATTTGGGGGGTCAAAAAGCACCTGCCAGGCGCATGATGGGGCCAGGGCGTTGGGAGGTCGGCCAGTAATGGCCCCGCTGTCTCCGTGTTGCATGTCGTTGTGCCGTTTTTCTCAAGAGCCTGCCGGCATGCGCCCCCTGGCCCGAATCCCAGTCAAGACCATGCCAAAGCGCTTCCTGGGGTCTCACCTGGAACCCATGTTTGCTGCACGCGTGCGGCATGAGGTGGGCGCAGAACGAGGGGAGGGGCGGGAAAAAAGGCGGGTGCGAGGGGGCACGCAGGGGCAGCAGCATGAGCTGCATGACTCCAGCTGCCGGAGATAGGGCGCTCGCAGCCCAGCCACCCACACCTGGTGCTGGCCGGGGCTGCTGATGGGCAGCATCCGCGGGCAGCGCTGAGGTGGGCGGTGGCGAGAGCGGCCGCACACTGCATCGCCATCCCCTCCTTTTTGGCCCTGACAACCCCAACTTCCCCCCCTGTCAATGCGCGCTCTGCCCTGTGCCGCTTCAGGTGGACGTGTATCGCACCATGGGGCAGAGCCTGAACGTGGCACACCTGGAGGCAGCATTTGAGGATGATGTTGCGGTGGGATGCCGCCGCCGCCGCCGCCGTTGCTGCTGCTGCTGCTGCTGCTGCCGCCGCCGCTGCTGCTGCTGCTGCTGCCGCCGCTGCTGCTGCTGCTGCTGCTGCCGCTGCTGCTGCTGCTTGAAGGGCTGATCACCATTCGGTGCCTGATAGTGGGGGTCAATGGGGACCAAGCGCGGGGAAAGGCGGGGCCCCTCCTGCTGCCAACGGTCTCAATGACCAGGTTCGCACGCCGGGTCTCAGCCGAAAGGGCTGGGGCCTGGAGAGGGTGGGGAGGTGATGCACGCACTAGCAACTGCAGTCATCGGTGCACAGGCGGCGCCTCAGGCCTTCACCATTGCAACGTATCGGCATGTTTCACAAAACGCGCAGCACGTGCAGCTGCGGCGCTTGTCAAACAACCTTCAACACCGCACAATACCGCACCAAACCACACCACACATACAAACACCACGCGCCCCCCCCCCCCAGGTCGACTTGGTTCTTGAGCTCTGCCAGGGCGGCACCATGTGGCAGCGCATCAAGCGCGGCGCGTACTCTGAGCGCACCGCGGCGCGGCTCGTGCGCGAGGTGCTGCGCGCCGTGGCTCAGTGCCACGCCAAGGGGGTCATCGTCCGGGATGTCAAGGTGGGAATCACAAGGGGATGACAGTGAAACTATCATTGGGCTGTGGCAGGTTGACTGTAGTGCAGCTTGAGGCAGGAGGGATCCCGGGGGGGGGGGGGTTTGGCAGGAGAATTGGGCACGGAGGTCAGATAAATGGGAGTGCCACCCTGCAGTTTGCGGATGCTCTTCTGTTGGTATCGATTCCGCATTGCCTGTCAGGTTCTCACTCAACTTGCTGACATTGCATTGCTGCCCACCCGCAAGCTGCAATTCCTGATCACGCCCAGCCCTTAACAATACCCACGCAAGCTCACGCCCTCCTCCCCTCCCCCTTTTCCGGCCCTCCCCGTCCACTTCAGCCGGACAACTTCCTCTTTTTGAATGACCGCGAGGACAGCCCCTTGAAAATGGTGGGGAAGCATCACCAGGGCACTGGGCCTGACTCAGATGGCTGCCCCACCATGGGGACGCTTGAGGGCGCAGACGTGGACAAAGCCTGGCCCAAGCGCTGTTAATGCCGGCGGCCCCTTGCGGCCCCCACTTGCTGACAACAGTGCACTGGGTCATTTCAGTGCTTACAGTCAGCAATGTTACATGAGGTTTTGTCCCTTCACGCCGTGGCACTCTCAACCACGGCAGGTCGACTTTGGCCTGGCCCAGTTCTGTGCCCCGGGGGACCTCCTCCACGACCGCGCGGGCACGCCCTTCTTCGTTGCGCCAGAGGTGCTCAAGCAGAACTACTCCCTGCCAGCAGACGTCTGGAGCGCGGGTAGGCGTCACGTGGGCGAGCGCGCACACAGGGGAGCGCGTGGCGCTGGAACAGCCTACCTGCCGCGGGGTCCTGCGGGCTGCACTCGCCGCGCTTTTCTAGGATGACGTCACATTCGCTGATGTGTCGCTACACTTGAAACCACCCAGCAACTTGCATACCTCCCCTCTTTTTTGTGATATTCTGTGACCGCAGTTGCACGTGCATGCCGCCGCCCCCCAAACGCACACGCGCTCTTGCACGCACGCGCGCGCACACACACACACACACACACACAGACACACACACACACACACACACACACACGAAGCACACAAAGCACACAAAGCACACAAAGCACACACAAGGCACACACAAAGCACACACAAAGCACACACAAAGCACACACAAGGCACACACAAGGCACACACAAAGCACACACAAAGCACACACACACAAAGCACACCACACACACACACGTATCATCACCCCTCCCCACATCAAAAAGGCATCACGGCCTACCAGCTGCTGGCGGGCCACTTCCCGTGGCACCGCGACCCCGACATAATGGAGGCGCAGATGAAGGCGAACGAGGACGACGCCATGAGGACCGGCAGGTGGGAGCGAGTGATGCCGAGTGTGCGCTGTGGCGCCTAGTTAGGCGGATCTGGGCAGGGGGGGGCCAGTGTCCGCGCGATTTGGTCTTTGTACCCGCCGGTCACTCGCAGCGCCTCACGGGCGCTGTCGCAGCGCCTCGCGGGCGCTGCGGCTGCCAACATCCATCGAGACGGGACAAAAAATGAGGGAACAGCAACAGCGCGAGCATGTCCCACCCTCTAAATCTCTTGCTGTACCTGATGCTGTGGCCCACGCGCTGGTCATCCGCCTTCCCCCCTTCCATGCATCCTGGATCAGGGGTGGTGGTGGTGAGTTGCGAATGACCAACAAGATGCTCTTCCGCGCCATCCTCTTTGCTGAGGTGAGGCCAACACGCAACCACATCTCTGGAGACATGTGGCCCCCAGGGACCTGAGCACAGCACGTGCTTATTAACCGCATACAACGCATGAAGGGCGCAGGTTTCCGCCGCCGCTGCCCTGCGCCATGGGTCCACGATCCGGCATACGCCCACAGCCGTTGCAACTACAAGCCAGTGTGCGGCAATCCCTACCTGGCTACGCGACCCTCATCTTGCACGCCCTTGCTCCCTTTGCCACCACCGCCGCGCCGCGCAGTTTGACTTTGATTGGGAGCCCTGGCCGGCCATCAGCGACGAGGGGAAGGACTTTGTGCAGCAGATGCTGCAGCGCGACCCCGAGAAGCGCCCCACTGCGGTCCAGCTGCTGCACCACCCCTGGCTGACACGCCTGGACGGCGGCAGCGGCAGCAGTAGCAGCGGCGGCGGCAGCAGCAGCAGCCGTGGCAGCGAAGGCGTTGATAGAGGTGAAGGCGCCGGCCTGGAGGAGGAGGCGCCGCTGAACGACACACTGGTGCAGCGGCTACAGCGGTACGGCACGTACGGGCGCTTGAAACAGGTGCGTGGCACGACGCGGCGACTTGGCGGTGGGGCCGCCAAAGGTTGTGGGGGCACTCACGCCATGGCGTGCAAGTGAGGGTGTGCATCACAGCGGCAGTCGCTGTTGACACATCCAGACCTCCCCATGCCAACAGAGCGGCCCTGTCTGCTTTGACGCTCATGTGCACACAAATGCGCGCGCGCACATTTACCGCACGCATGTGTACGCGTGGGCACCACGCATTTGCACACACATGCGCACACATCTGCGGCCCAGCACGTGCGTGCTCACACATTTCCGCAGGTGGCGCTGCGCGAGGTGGCGGCCCTGATGCTGCAGGATGGCGCCGTACTACAGGGCCTGGCGGAGGCCTTCCGCAAGCTGGACACGCAGGGGACGGGCCGCGTGCCGTTCCAGCTGGCCGTGGAAGAGCTCAGGAACGGCGACTGGGACCTGTCAGACTCAGAGGTGCGCGGGCTGGAGCTCCGGCAGGAAATCTCTGATTGTCATGAGGCGGGGAGTCGTCCGCACTGAGACGCATGGCGGGCGGTTGTGTCTTGGGATACCAGCAGGGATTGAAGGTGACCCCGCGTGCTTTGATCGCGCAGCTTGCTGCTGTCCCTGGCGTGGCTGGTCAGAGGCCTTGCCAAGTGCCCTCATCCCATCAGCATCATATGCATCTCCTGGAACGTCAGCAATGCAACCCCTATGCAAAACACACACACACACACACACACACACACACACAAACACACACGCACACTCACACGCATGTGCGTGCGCGCAAGCACACACACACACACAAACACACACACTGGCAGAGACACACACACAAACACACATGATGTGGTTTGCGCGTGCGCTCTCGCTCTTGCCACCACCTGCAGGTCCGCACCCTGCTGCAGCAGTTTGATCTTGACCGCGACGGACTGATTGACCTGGCGGAGTGGACGGCGGCCCTCATGGATTGGGGTGCAGTGGAGCAGCGCGAGGAGTGGGAGGCCTGGGTCCACAAAGTAAGTGCTTTGGGGCAAAGGGCCGCTCTTCTAAGCCGCTAGGCAACGCCCGGCCTTGTCCAGCGTGAGCTTGCCTGCGTTTGATGTCACCCTGGGGTGGCCGTGCCCGCATTTGTCCCCCTTGCAACGCTTCAACTGGGCCCTCCTCCCTGACCTGTCCTGTCCATCACCCCGGCAGGTCTTTGACCTGTTTGACCGCGACCACTCCAGCCGCATTTCAACTGAGGAGCTGGCCCAGGTGCTCTGCGGCGATGGGTCCGACGAGGAGCTGTGCATCCCGGACGCGGTGCCCGCGGCGCTGCGGCGCGTGGACGTGGACGGGGATGGCTACGTAGATTTTGCAGGTGGGCGCATGGGAGGGGGGTGCAATGCAAGGAGCAGGGCGGCGCAAGGCGTGCGTTAGAAAATATATCTTGGTCGCCTGGTGCGTGGCGCTGGCGCTGAGTCTGACAGGTGCGCTGGTGGTGTTCGACCCGTGCTTCCCTCATCCTCTCACCACATGACGCCTCCACCTATTCAACTTAAGGGGCTGATCACACTCTATTTCGACCCCAAACACCACCCCCAGAGTTCCTTCAGATGCTGCACACCTCTGACGCCGACTCGCTGGACCTTTTCCCCAGCCGCCGGCTGCGTCGCGGATCAAAGCGAGCGCAGGAGCTCGCCGCGCAGCGCAAGCGCACCGCGCAGACCTGATTGAGGGCGGGCGGCCCGTGCGCTGGACACTGGCTCAGTCACCTTTGCCATGCCTGTGGCTGGCGCTTTCATGCCTGGAGGAGGATTACACAAGAGACCTGCACGCCACCTGGGGCAGCTTCCAAGTTTTGAAGAGGGAACGAAAAACAGAGCAGGAAGGTGCATTCACTTGAATGGACTTTGAAAACAATCACAAATAATCTGTCTTACATCTAGGTGTAAAAGAAGGTGCTGCTCCTCCTGCACATCATCCCTGCAGAAAGCAAGTGCGAATATTTGCAGTAATCCAGCGTGTGTCTCCACACACACACACACACACACACACACACACACACACGCCAGCGGGCGGGGGCTTCAAAGTAACCTGTCTCGAAAGGTGCATGCTGCTCGCTCAGCTCAGGGCTGATGCCTCACACCACCCAGGCGTGCGCTCCTGAGAAGTGGCTGCAACCTGAAAGGGCAGCGCAACTGAGCAGGTTGGACCTGCCAGCAACCGTCAGCATACACCGAGGGTTGTCCGGCTGCAAGCCCTCACAGCCGCACCTGCCAGCCCCTCGCCGTAATGCATTAGCGCAGCGACACGTAGCACAGCTGCCCCCTCATCTCCACTACGAAGTCGTCCCTGTGCTGCTTCAGGAACTTGAGCGGTCGCAGCACCATTGCACCCTCGGGGCGAGCCACGCTGTTGCCGACAATGTCCAGCAGGACGGGGCGGGGCTTGGTGCGCAGGAACTCAATGATGGACTTCTTGTAGGCGGCGGCTGTGTGTGTGAGTGAGCAAGAGGGGATATGAGTGACACACCGTGTGCATGCATGCGTGCATCCACATAAGCGTGCATTCTTACTTGCATGATACGTGCATGCTCATGCGGGATTCCCCATGCCCTGCAATCTTACACAGGCACTCATGAGCAAAACCCTTGCTGGCATTGACCCTACTGCAGGCTTGAAACTGCTCCACAGCCACTTGCAGCACGGTCATAAGCACCTGCTGCTGCTTCTGCGGCTGCCTGGCGCTCCGCTTTCTCGGCCTTTGCGCTCTTCTTTGGTATTGGCACCTCAGCCACGCCCAGGGCCTTCGCCGCCCGCAGCTTCTCCCTCCTCCTCTTCTTTGCCTCCTTGCAGCACCTCCGCAGGGCCCCCTTGCCCCGCCGCCCGCGCTGCCGCGGCTTCAGTAGCTCCTCCTCCGGCTCCTTGTCCCCGGCAGCTCCAGCCGCCAGCACGACCAGCTGCGCCGGCGGCTCGATGGGGGCCTGCATTGCCGCGCGGCCAGCCAGGCCTTGAAGCAGCGATCCAAGCAGCAAATCGCCGCTGTAAGCGCGCACACAGACCCAGTCCTAGCTCATCCCATATTGCCAAGTTTGAGGTGCATGTATTAGGCCATGCTGACCTTTGTGCTGTCTGGCTCGGGCGCCGCCACAGCCCCAGCAATCGGCGCAGCAGCAGCGAGCGGAGAAGGAGCGAGAGGCGCCGGCACCGGCGCCATGTCCACCTCTCCGGCATCGTTGGACGACGCGCACCCTCCGACTGTAGACCACTGATCAGATACCATTTTTTTAGGCCGTCTAGTGGTGAAGCTTGACGCACATGGTGTAAATGAAGTCTGACAAGCCTGCGCAGATCGTTTGACCGTGACCAGGTGCCCCTAACGCTTGTACAAGATGTTACAGGGATAGTAACATACAGTCTGAGGTCGCGTCGGTCAGAACGTGCAATACCGTACGGTACGGGAAGAGGACGGGGCAAAGAGCTCACCTGGGTCGTCGAAGATCTCACTGTGCTGTATCGCACGGGATACTCAACGTTGCAAGCAACATCAAGAGGTTATTGAACCGCGTGGAGATGGCTGTGGCATTGCGACGCTGCACGGCGTGGCGACCGCTGGAGTGACGAAAGCGCGGGGCGGCGCTCTGGCGCAGCGCCGACCAACACTCGCTGCCCTGGCGTGAACGGGCCTTGGCGGGCACGCACGCAATGACAGACGCGCAAGCGCAGGCGCAGGCGCTGGCGGCACACCGCGACCGCCTGCGCGCTATCGCCGAGGAGCGTGCGCGCATCGTGCAGCAGCAGTCCGAGGTGCTGCGAGGGTACGTCCAGGCGGGCGTGCCGCTCCCAGCGCCCGGCGCAAGCAGTGAGCGGCCGCAGCGTGAGGCATTAGTGCAGCAGCTAGCGATGGAGGAGGGCGCTTCCAGGGCAGCGCTGGAGGCGCTCAAGCAGGTGCACATGTATGGCAGGGGCATCGGGAAACGAAGCAGCAAGGCACGCATGATGCAAGTGCAGGTGCTCCCAGCCCTGATCATACCACTGCTTACTTATGTGCATGCATGCACATGCACACCTGCACTGCATGCGCATTTGCGTGGCTCAACGAGCCCATGCGCATGCAAACGGCGCGCGCACATGCACTGGGCGCCGCGCAGGGCGCACCCCTCGCCCGAGTGCGCGAGATCGCCGCAAAGGTGCTTCACCACCAAACCGACCTGGCAGACCGGGACGCCACAGCAGCACTCGGCCGCGCGGGCGGCCCCAGGTTCGGCCAACTCCTTGGAAGCGGCGGCGCGACGGCCGGTGGCCCACGAGGCGTGTTTCTCCAGGCGCCGCAGGCGCCGCACTCGCGAGGAGGGAGCGACGATGGGGGCGAGGGGCGCGGCGAGGCGGCGGCAGCGGCGGCAGCAGCGGCGTCGCCTGTGGCTGCTGCTACGCCCACCAGCAAGCGTGGCCTGCCTGGGCCGCGGCCTGGCGGTCAGCGCGTTGGTGGGCCCGCGCCGCCTGCTGCAGGGGCGCGACCAGCGCGCCGAGTGGAGTGGGACGCAGATGGTCAAGGCGAGGCTGCAGGCGCGGGAGCTGCCTCACGTGCGGCCAGTGCAGAAGCGCCCCAGCGGCCACGCAGCGGCAACAATGCTGGCAATGCTGATGTGGATGATCTGCGGCGCCAAGTGGCGGCGCTGCATGCGGCTTTTGAGCAGGGCATGCAACAACCTGCGGCGGGCAGCTGGGGTCGACCTGCGCTGGCGCTGTCTTGGGACGCGGCTCCCAACGCGCTCCAGCTGCAACAACAGCAACAGCAGCAGCAACAGCAACAACAGCAGCAGACAGCATTCTTTCAACAAATGCAATCATACCAGCAGCAGCAGCAGCAACATCAACAGCATCAACAGCAGCAACAGCAGCAACAGCAGCAGCAGCAGCAGCAGCAGCAGCAGGGCGCCACCTCACTGCCGCCTGAGCTGGCCGCCGACCCTGAGATCTCCGCTGCCCATGCGCGCCATATGCGCGACATGGCGCTGCTGCGAATGGAGGTCGACCGCGCCAAATCTGCGCAGGAGCTGGCGCGCGTGAGGGCGTCGCTGGCTGAGCTGAGAGCCGCGGCTGCAGGTGGGTGGGGCCATTTTGCGGGCTGGTTGACAATGGCAAACTTTGGTTTGCCAAAGCAATCTGCAAACCGCTTCCTGAGACATCTTACTTCTGACCAAAGGAGGCCCGGTTTCACCAACCGCGCCTGCTGGTCTTCCACGCGCACACCAGCTCAAGGACATCGATTGAGTACAGACCTGGACCTGCTGCAACCCAGGCCGCCCCTGCCCTGGATGGACGGCGGCACGCCGGCTCCGGCCCAGGCAGCTGAGCTGCCGCCGTCAGCGGGCGAGGACAGGGAGCCGGCGTCCGAGCCACAAGAAGGCGCGTTGGAGGAGGAGGTGAGAGCACAGGCCTGTGGGTCTGTGCGCGGGGGTCATGCAGTGACACTCAATCGTCACTCTTCCTGTGTACGCCGGGCTGGACGCTCCACGTGGATCCTGCCCCAACATCCTGATTCGCAAAAAAAGGCTGCGCCGCCCGACCCCGAGGAGCATGCCTCTGGCGACTGGGCGCACCACGCCGACCCCCTGGCCGAGCGGGACGCGGCCGCCGCTGCGCTGGAGGATGAGGGGCTGGGGCTGGCGGAGGGCAGCGCGCTGGAGGCGGCGCGGGGGTCTAACGCAGACACCGACGTGCTGCGGGTGCGGCTTGCCAGGGCACCAGCTGGGCTCCATGCAGCAGGGGCCAGCTGCTTGGCAGGTGCTTGGCAGCTGCCTGCGTGCTTGTCCTGGTCTCCACTGGACTTCCCGCTGCCAAGCCGCACCCCCTTCTGCTGCAATGCGCAGGTGGCGGTGCAGGGCGCCGGCCCTTTCAGCAAGCGCGGCACGTACAGGTGGGAGGGCCGCCGCTTGCATGGAGGGTGCCGGTCTCTTGCCGAGGCTGCGGCAGTCCACACATCCTGCTAGTTTGCTAACATGCAATGGTTGCCTGCAATCGCCCCTATGCCATGTTTTTTTGCTAAATGTAGGGTTGGCGTCTCCCTGTATGAGGGGTTCCAGCCTGTGGAGGCCGGACACGGCACCACCGTCCACGCTTACACTGGAAAGCGCACTCTTGGCCTCACAACGGCCGCGGGCGCTACTGCGCCGTCATCAGCGGCTGCGGCTGTGGCGGCAGCGGCAGATACGAGGCTGGTGGCCAAGTGGGGGGAGGCTGTGACGCTGAGGGGTGTGCGGCTGAGCGCGTCCACGCTGCTGGTGTTCCAGCTGCTGCTGGCCAAGCCGGGGGTGGCAGGGCTGCCGATGCGCGAGGTGCTGGTGGCGTGGGCGTTTGCTCCCGTGCTGACGCGCGGCCAGGTGCGCTGGTGTTGAAGTGGCAATTCAAGGGGCGCGATGGCAGTCGCGCCGCCCCCTTCGGGTGTCACACTAGCTGCCAGGGACCGCCATCCCAGCCCGTCGAGCATTTGCTTTTGCGGCGCATTCTACATGGTTGGCGGCCAGGCAAGGTGCTTTAAATTTACCACCGTCCTTGCAAGTGCGCGAGACAATTCGCCGCAACACCAGGCTGCGGCGAGGCGCACAGCAAGCACACGCCGCTGAGCTGCCGCCCGTCCCCTTGCGCAGCGGCTGGCGGGCCATTAGACCGTCCAGAAGCCGCCACCCCCCCATCCATCACTCACACACGCACACGCACATGCACATGCACATGCACACACACACACACACACACACACACGCGCGCGCGCGCGCACGTACACACACACACATATACTGGTATACACGCACACACACTGCACCTGCGCCCAGGTGCTGTCGGGGTCCCAGAGCATCCCGCTGTTCCGGCTGCCCCTGGTGCTGGCCGCGCGCCGCAAGTTCACCTACGACGGCGCCCTGCTGGACTTCAGGGTGACGCGCTACAGCGGCGCACCAGGTGCGGCGGCAGGCGCTGCAGGGGTGGGTGGCCTCGAGAGCGGCTAGGGATTGGCGCTGCTGGCATGCCTGGCTGTTTGCGGCGGGGAGCTCTGAATTGTGACGGGTACGCGCAGGCATCAAGGCTCGGAGCAGGCATGCCATCAGGATGACCCTCAGAAGATGCAGCTGGCCAGCGGGCAGATTCCAGGGGCACTGGGTGCGCGCGCTTCTCTGACATTGCTGGTGACGTGGCGCAGGGGACCTGGAGGCGCTGGAGAGCGAGCCTGGCGGTGGCCCCGCCTCGGGGTCAGGCCCGGCCCGCAGCGGTGGTATCGCCGCCGGGGGCGGCAGCGGCAGCGGCGGCGCGGGCGAGGACATCCCCGGCGTGCCCGCTGCGGCGTGGGTGCGGGTGCAGCGGGGGACGCCGCCTTCAGACCCGTACACACCTGGTAAGCGCCAGCGCGTGCGGGCCTGGGGCCAGCAGCCTGGGCTGCAAAACGGGAGGTTGTGCCAACCGTATGGCACATTATGCTTGCTCTTGCAGCCTCTGAATCGGAGTCTCTCCTTTCTTGAACGCGTCAGCCTGCTCAGCCCAGCCCAGCCCAGCCCAGCCCAGCCCAGCCC